ATTTAGGCAATTTTTATAAGCGTACAATTAGAGCTGTTTGTAAAAAAACTTTAATTGCCTTTTTTCACAACTGCATTTATTAAAATTACCAAAACAAGGATCCGTATTTCGATACATGAACTTATTCAAAGATCCAAGTTTGTGGAAGAGACTTCAAAAAGAAAAAATCTGTCATTTGTTTTTACAATATTTACAATTTAGGTTTACATATTAAACTTACCATTTTCGAAATTAGAGTTAATCGAAAATGGGACCAGTGCCATTTTTATAACAGTCCTTTGCTTTATTCCACGCAGATTAATTAATACTAAGCCACCCCTCAGTAAACCACGCCGCGCCACGCCGCGCCAAGACATGTCACGTCATGTCACGCCATCACGTCATGTCACGCCATCACGTCATGTCACGCCATCACGTCATGTCACGCCATCGCGTCACGTCACGCCATCACGTCACGTCACGCCATCACGTCACGTCACGCCATCACGTCACGTCACGTCATCACGTCACGTCACGCCATCACGTCACGTCACTCCCCACCAGTCTCTCCCGGGCATGGCGCACTACACCATACCACCCGTCCATCCGTCCGTTTGTTGCCAACGCCACTCCGCGCGTTGCCCTAACATGGCGCACTAATCAGCGCAACGCCACACCACGCCACGCCTAGCCCTGCCTTGGCCCACCTCGCCACGCGGCCTCATCTATTCGCGGCACGTGCGGGGGAGTCTGTTGGCGCCGTCCCCGCACTCAAACTCCCATTTATAAACGCGCCTGCCCCGCTCAATGGAAGCGCCCTCGCGGGTTTTATTCCGCTGCAGAGCAAACTCTCCAAGAAGCAGATCACGTAGGCGCATTTGAAGGCAGGCCCGCGGTTGCCTCTCCAGGGGCTGTTCTCCACTCGCTCGGCGAATTAAAAAGCGGCGCAACTGCTGCGCGTCGTCACACTGTATACCTATCAAAAGTCAGTTGACGAAGAACAGCGGTGCTCAAACAGCACGTACTATCTCGCCCGTACTTTCACGCTAAATTACGCGAAAAGTACAAACATTTTCGCAACACACTACGTAACCCTATTTCAAAATTTATCTTCAGGAACATATTTAATTCAGGGAAATATTTCTATCTTTAATACTCAAGTTGTAGGAAGACGCCGAAAAAAAATTGAACTATTGCGATTTTTGTAAAATTAGGGCTTTCAACGAATATGAGACATAAAACATTCTCTTAAACGTTCTTTACACTATCAAACAAAAAAGTAATCAAAAACGATGCAGCCATTTTTTTTAAATTTGGAAAATGTCCCAGAGACTAAAGCGAGAATGTATGTGCTGTTGTGGTATCACCAGTTTAATACGTCGTTGGTTTTAAGCATTGGCGTCACCTCATCAAAAGGAACGCGAATTTTCGCTGGTAAAGTTCGTGTTTTAAGTTCTTTTGAGCAGTAATTTTGCACGTACGTAAAGATAAAAGCGTTTTAGTGCTGTCACAAAGGTGATAAAAGCTGCTGCAGTGGGCGAGGAGAGTCATTAGGCTCGAAAGTCGGCGCCCGGCTCCAAAGTGCTGGAAACCAGCGCCCTACGTGTGCGTAGCAAGGATGCGACATCAATGTCGATTTCAAAACATACAGGTTTTGTGGAAACATCGATGTATTAACACCACTTTTTTTAACATCGATGTTTTGTGTTATCGATGTTTTTTTCTTTTCCGATGTTTTGTTTTTGAATGAAAAATTCTCATGGTCACAATACTGTAAAAGTTAAAATATTAAATAATAACTGATTTTAACTGTAGTTCACGAGTTGAAATCAAAGGAACGCTGTCTGCACTACTTTAATCGACCAAACACTTTCGCCCGAGATGACCTCCATACCATTGTATTTCCTCTTTCTTCACATTCATTTCGCCCATTAATGTGCCCAATGGTCAACAAATACGTTATGGGCGTAAGATCTGCGCGTTCTCCTCGAATTCGACGAATTCATAAACACGAAAACTGTCAAATTAAATTTTTTTGTACACCAATTTAATGTAAGACGTTACTAAACCAGTTTGAAAACATGGATGTTGAAAACTATGGTGTTTAGTTGATGTTTTATTAACATGGCTGTTTTGTTTATCGATATGCCGTCAGTGGCGCGTGCCTTTCGGTGCTGCAGCTGCCACCTGATCGCCCTGTCGCGCGGTCGCCAACGCGGCTGCTCAAAGGCGACGCTTGTACCTCGCAATCCTCGTGTATCCCTCCCTGAAATGGAAGTGCCTGCGCACGCGGACGGGCATGCGAGCTCTGTGAGAGGGCAAATGAGGAGAGAGCGGAGAGAGCAAGCAGAGGCTGCGGCTGTGCTTTGAGCTTCACTCTCTACGACACTTTGTCAGCGCGCTCTGTCGCCCACTTGCCCTCACCTCTGCCTCCCTCATCCCTCCCTCGCCATCGCCCACGTTCACGCACTCGACCTGGCAATCTCGTGTGCACTTCGATTTCCATTGCACACTTGATATTTTATATCAAATATGCATGGAGACTATTGCAGAAGCGAATTCACGCAACATAAAAACGGACTAGGATTCCGACATGCGGTGATCGCTCCAGCGTCCTGCAACAAGAACTAGTCTGGACTCGTTCTACACCAGGTCATTTTATGAAATCGATTGTTATACACGTAATATTGGTAATAATGAAATATAATTATTTTATTTCGAAAATATCACTAGCCTAATAATGTTGCCAAATCTGTACTTTTTTTTAGAAATGTATGTTGTCTTCTACTCCGACTTTAATGTACGGCAAAATTACTTTTGATCGGCTGGGACGCAGTTTTCGAATCAGGTGCTGCAATATCAAAGATTTAACTTGTTGATACCCCCGATCTTGCGTTTGAGCTGATCTCCGCCTATTCGCCTTGTATTGATATCAGAGAATAATACAAAATGTTTAGCATATTCATAACGTTTCTCCTTAAAGCGATGTACAGCAATCATTTTTTTCAAAATGTCAAATACGTTCTCAGGAGATGAGATGATTTGTCGGTCGTAGTTCACAAACAGGAGGAGAAGAAGGGAACGATAACCACGATAACGAAACTCAACACAAACACTAATTGCCGCCGGAGATCCCGTATTCACAACGAGGCCAAAGGACTTCACGGGTAGCACGCGCTGAGACCAAGAAACAGAAAAGGGGACTTTTCCAAGCTGGTAAAGGTTTCCACAAAGAATGTGCACTCATCAAACGTACATTTGGAAATAACAACCGCAATTCTGAAGTTAATCAACCATTCCTTCTTTTAAATACTTATACTTTTTTCAATATTATTAATTTACTTTTAAACTATTTACTATACTTTACTACCTCGTATTGGGCCTACCATTCAAGTGAATCAAAATAATTTCTACTTAACGTAACTTAATAAACGTATATAATATGAATATTGAATGTTCTGACACGCTAAATCTCAAAGGGAGAACTGGTTTGTTAAGACCTACCAGTAACAAAATTTGAGAAGCCAATCGCAATCATCTTCTATAGAGCAGCCCTCTACATCTCGCTCATTGCTCGCTCATTGTGCGTATTAGACGCGGTATTTGCACCGCGGGTTGCATAATGATTTTATTTGTAAATATCACTACCATCCCATTTGCACCTAAAGGGGCGTCTTCCCCACAGTATTCTCTCCGCCTTTGTAATTCCTAGAAACGCTGTATGAAGAGTAGACTCTAAAGAGTTACAGAAAAAAACGAAACATCTCAGAAAAAAACTGATTGACTAGCGTTTCCGGATGCGCGAACGACTAAGGTCATTAGTTCCGTCGGAGGAAGTGGTGCTTGTCCTCGCCCGCTGCACAACGAGAGGTATTTGAAAGACCTCAGAAGAAAAATATATTTATTATATTTTTTAATATCTTTAGCCAGTAATGTTGTATCTGAATTTTCAGCCTCTTGAAATAATTAACAGTTACATATACACCAAGGGCGTTACAAGGGTTCTAATAATCGAATGGCGACAAAATGCCCCAGAACTTTTTGTTGCCGTACATTATTAGAACCCATTAACGATCGAGGTACATATTTAATTTTATTTATTACCTACTTTTATTGATTTACATTTACTTATTTACTAATTATCTAGATGTTAACTTGACTAGACTTGTCTTTTGCTCTATCCCTCCCATGATTCCCTTTCATAATTACCTCACATAATTCCCTCCTTGAGAGAACTTGTAGCATCATTCAACAGTTTTCATATGGCCCCCGTAATCACGATCTTCTCCTTCAAGGTAAGTTATGCAATGTTATATAGCGAACTCCCTTTTCACAGCGCAACCGCGGTTCGATTCCCGGCGGCGGCAAAATAAGAACTGCGCGCTTTCCTTCCTATTGCTGTGTGGCAATGAGAAACGCTCCCTACGGTTACGAAGAACAGAATATACGGTGACGGGATGTTTTCGTGCTAACCACACGGCCCCTTGTCCCATGGCTGGTTCACCGCTGGTCGGCGAAGGCCCGCGCACTGTCGAGCCAGAGGACAGTACATCGAACTCCGTATAGAAGGCAATATCAAGTTATTACATATCAGTAAAAATAAATATACAATTATATAGCTTTTAAGCCAGAAATGCCGTATTTGAATTTTCATCTTCTTGAAATGACTAAAATTTTGTCCATTAACAGTGCTAGAGGGTAAGCGTTTCTGAAAGTTCTCCACGAAACTCATTTGAATCGGAGCAAACCAAAAGGTTCGATGTCACATTTGGCCAGTTTTGAGTTAACGGTGGGAAGCTGTTCTTAAGAGATAAATTCAACTTTCTATGCAAGAAAGTACGTTGTCCGCGATTTCCGTGACATCAGATGTCCTTCAACCGTTAACGTTAAGAAAAGAACGTTTCATGTCCGGAACCTTTGAGCTCGCCCTTCAAAATTTGAAGCTCCTGGACATCGAACGTTTTCGTTTTCTGCCATTCATTTCCGCGTTGGTGCATAGCGCCCGTGCTGCGCCCTACCTTGGCGACGTCGCACTTCTCCTGGTCGTGGTCGAGGGCGGCGGGCGGCGCTCGTGGCGGTGGCGGCGGCGGGGGCTGCGGCGGTGGCGGCGGGGGCAGCGGCGGCGGCGCAGGTGGCGGCGGCGAGCGCTCTGGCGGCGGCTTGATGAACTCGATGCGCCCGCCCTCGACGCAGATGTTGGGCGCGGGCGGCTGCGCGGGCGAGGGCGAAGGCGCGGGCGAGGGCGCCGCCTCGTAGGCCAGGAGCTGGGCCTTGTCCTCGCACAGCGGGTGGATCTGCCTGCGCACACACAAACACACACATACTCCAATTACAAAGGCGTAGTCTGACAAACCACTTTCGGTAAAAATAAAGAAAATCTCATTCCTACAATGAAACACTAAACAGAATGGATTGAACATCCTTGACATACAGTTACAAAATATATTTTAAAGGGTTTTATAGATACATCTACACGTCTTGACTCTCACAGCAGACACGTCGTGCCCTTAAAATAAAAAGGTACTATCTAACATTTTTTTCAGAAATGACTTCATGTGGTGTTTGAAATGGTAGCGATGAGATTTACATAACCTCCCAATTATATTGATGTACGAAGCTTAGTTTCTGAGATACAAAGTAACATAGTACTATCTGAAAAAGGCATGTTCAAGTTCGTGAAAAAAGGTTCTAGTTGCTTCGCCGCGCAAACCAATTTGCTTACATGTATGTGGACACTTTCTTGTTGGCTACCCTGTTTGCACGATTCCTTCGCAAAGTGTCAAGGTATTGTAAGATCTTTTGAGAAGCAGATTTAATTGCAATGTTGAGTGAAGGTGAAATTGAAGATGCTGTTTTTAAGTATTCTGTTTCTGAATACGATCTTAGTGCGGCAAGCAGTACTGAAGAAGACGAGACAACAAGGAGACGTGTTAAAGCAAAACATGATGCTGTAATAAGGTAGACATATTTATAAACATCGAACTATTTATTCTTTACCAGTACTAATTACCTCCTAACTCTACGAAATTGTTGGTTACGCGACATCAACTACTTGCACTCGTTTACTGCTTGCTACTTTCACACGTTGATATAATATAATAAATTTGGTTGCCTTTAAATCCGATTTACAACCCGGATTATTGCGATTTAACTTCTATTCGGTTAACAAATGTTTGTGAATGGATCTAACAGACCCAATCTGTTTTAAGAAGAGAGTTCCTCGCCAGGTTGTGAGTAAGTTTTCGCAGTCTGGCGACATCCTATGTTGAACTATTTTGCACCCGGAGGAAAGGTTACCAACAGATAAGTTGGAGGGCGATAGATTGTATAGATCCTCTCTCCTTGCCGACACATGCAATTCGTAGAAAGATTTGGCTCCGTGCGCGTCAGTCGTATTTATGCATTCGTGTGTTTGAATGCGTAAGAATAATATAGTATTCCCCTTACAAAACTGTTAATAATGAAACAATTTGATCTGTAAATGGCAGATGATGTAGGTAAGATACGAGAACTTCTTTTAATATACGATGTTTGAAATGAATATTTCAAAGAAAATTCTGCGAGTTTAGATGTGCACTATGAAGTAGGCAAAGAGGATTTAGAACAATTTCATAACAGTTTGGAGACACTTTTTATTCACGGGTATACAAACATGATAAACATTCTGCCGATGGTGATTTTCTCATCTTCAAAATATTACTGCAAGAAGTGGGAGAGGAATTTATTTAGGAAATAAGGTGCAATTAATTTAGCTTCGACGGGAGTACCAACACAAACAATTTGACTCAAAACGTGTTACTCCAGTAGTTGCCAAGATATAATATTACTTGTCTTGCACGGCAAATTCAATAAATGCTGAAAGGAGTAACATTCATTCTAAAGCACAAAGTACAAAGTTTCCTTACGAAAAAAATCTCACAAAATATGTTTGCAAAAACTTTTATACTTTTTTAAATTTATGCAAACGCGCAAAAAATTATAAATAAACGCCTTAACGTAAAAAACGCTAGTATTGATTATTAATAAAGCAGGAGGAACATAATTGATTTCTTGTTTAGGATTAAATAGGGCGATATTCTGTTTTCTTGTTTACGTACAATTGTGTGTACTCGTTTAGTTATTTAATCCTTAGAAAATGCAATTTATACAGAAATGCATGTCTCATTAAATTCTATTCTAATACTTCTTCAGAGAAAATACACCGTACATTTTCTCCAATCGATCCTAAGAATGTTATAAAATCATCAAATACAGCAAGGGGCTGCTAGTCCCAGCGCGGTTGAACGCGTTCATTAAAATGACAGGACTCGTAATGGGTTAATTATCTACAGGTACATCTCTACAAGGATTGTTGTGTAAACGAAAGTTGTCAATTTGTTAAAATATAAAATTTTAAGTAAGGAAAACTACTTCTATTCATTATTAAAAAACAAAAATAATAACATTATAGCTACGCGAAATTTTACTTTAATATGTATATAAAATATTATTTCAAATATAAGTGTAATTCTGTATTTTACAATAAAATACTTTTTTCCGCTTCTAGTTCGATAATTCTAAGTAATGACATTAAATTAAAATGTCAATATTATTGAGCACTAAAATAAGATTTGTACTAAAATGTAAGCAAATTTCTTTAAATTCACTAAAATTTAATAAATGATAACATTAAATGAATATATTGGCAATTATTTAAATACCAGTCTATATTCATACCATCAAAAATAGAACCTTAATGCTCGAATGTGAAAATACAGAGTAAAAAGGTCTATCTGTAAAAATAGGGTCTTGGTTTCTACCAAAGTTACCATGCTTTTAGAATAATTATCGATCTACAATTTTTTGCTTGGATGTGAGGTACACTGTCAAAGTTTGAATATATTTAATACAATAGATTTTGTTTTAGAGAGGGCCAAAAGTTTGAAATGCTCTCCTGTACAATTTACTGCGGTGCAGATAGATTTTTACTTTAGGGTCGCGCCGTGCCGTCCGCACATAGATTTGGGAAATGATCGCGTAAGTACGTCACGCGACCTTTGTTACGATCGCCATCGTCCCATTATGATTGCTCAATCATCAGAACAAAACTTAAATGCTACCAGACAAGGAGCTTGTAGTTATCATTTACAATTTAAGGCAATAGAGAACCAAAAATATCACTGACGTAATTGCAAAAGCGAAGTCTATTGGAAGACGCGTGATAAAAACACGTTTTCCAGAATTAGGCACGCGCACAACGTTACGTGTATTTCACTGGCTGGCTAGACCCACAATCAAGTTATCAGTTTGAGAACCGGGGAATTATCGGAAAGGGGTGGGGGAAGCTTTTGGTGCTAGTTATGTCGTCTCACAGACGACACATTTGGAATCTTCCAATGCACTCTCGCTAATCCGGCCATGCCTTGCACATGTGGGTGCCGAACTATTGAGAGGGATTGAAATTAGTTTTAACATATAGAGACAACACAGTAATATATTAAATCCAAAGGTATTGTATGAGGGGCACTTCAAAAGTAATTCACAACATTTTTTTAAACATTCCAATTATTTTCCATATCTTTTCTATTTTTACTGTTTGAAGAAAATCTTTGAATTTTGAAGCTTGAACAAAATGGCCCTCTTCGTCATAATGGTCGTCTTTTTCTCCTACCTCACACCTTGAAACGAGGGCATGTACACCCACACAGTAGAAGTTTGGGCCTTTGTTTAGGAGCCCTCAGGAGTCCTCAGCTCTTGAACCCACGCGACAGAAGCATTTTTCCAACCGCAATATTCTGCCCATACTCGCTTCTCCTAAATCCACTTTCATTGACAATTCTTTCACGGTCACACTTTTGTCAGCGAAAATGTGATAACTGCCATTCACTTAGGGTGTTGATCGGAGAAACCACGGAAAATTACCGATCAGAGCAGCCGGCCGCTAGAATTCTCCTTCAGACAGCGACTGAATTCGACCATCCTAGTGCCGAAAAATTTTTCACTGTCGGGACAGGAACCTAGAACCTCCGGATCAGAGGCTCTACAGTGGCGTAAATTGATGCTCTGAGCCACCTGCCCCTCGATAGTGTGAAAGTATTTTGTCTTTTAAAATAGTTATTTGAATGTGCTACTTTTTTAATGCAATATTTGCGAAACATTCCTGCTAATACATATTCTGAGTAGTCCGACTTCTAGGTTCCATAGGCCTTCAGAGTTTCCTTTTCATCCGACAGAAGAACCACTGTTCTACCCGTCGCCGTGAAAGTGTTTGTTAATAAACTTCATTCCAATTAAATTCTAAATTGGGAGCTTAATTTCCACACGAACACGCGAGGAACACGCAGCGGAGCAATCCAGGAAACGTTTTTAAATGCATTCTGTTTACATTCGTCACTCACGGCACTTCCGAACTAAGCTAAATCTACATTGTCTTGCGTCCAAACTTAACCTAACACAGAATACTGATTACATTACTTACACTTTGCAACACATAGACAATTCATTCTTATCTACCGTTCACATGTGTGCTTATTTTTTTGCTTACTATACTAGCGACTTCTCAATTAATCACGTAATATAACTACGTCTTATCTGCTAATTCAGTTGTAACTATTTATGTACATCTGACCTATTGGTGAGCGCTATACGCATCGCTAAAGTCTTTTGACAGTTTGGAGCTGAGGCGCTTCTGTATTTCTTGCACATCTCATTTCTGAAGATGAGCTGCTTCACTTATACTATTTACGATTATATGACGCTTTGCTATCGGACTAATAGTTCAAGCGCCTGAGGGGCCTCTCTTCTGCCCTTGTGTTGTAAAACGACAGTGATTCTTGCTTTTGCAACTAGTACACGCACACGAATTGCACTACTCATAACGTCATGCGGGGAACAGATCTTACGATGTCACACGTGAGGAACATGCGCTGCATGTGCGGAGAATATGGGTGGGACCGAGTTGAACCCGAGTAAGGCGACTCCCAGTACTATTCTACAAAATGACATCCTTTTTGAAACTACTTTGCCTCAAAATCTATCTCAAAACCCAGGCAAAATTAAATCGACATGACCTGAGGAGCCTGTAATGCTTTAACGTATATTTCAGAAACTGGTCCGAAGTTGTGATCGAGTCATATTTAACTTTTAAAACGACTATTCTACTCGTAAAATTAAAAACGATAGTGTTTAACTGTACATACAAAATGTACCAATCAGGGCGCTGAATCTCAAAACGTTTATCACTTTTTCTATTTGATTTTCCCTACCGCTTCTTCCTACTGGCCAATCATAAACTGTGACTCGTGTATCTTGGGAGGTGG